GTTACATGGCTTTAATGTTTGTTTGTTTGTTTGTTTGTTTTGGTTGGTTGGTTTTGCTTTATTGAAAACAGATCCTTCTCTCATATAGTAACTCCTGACCAGAGTTTCTTCTCCCTCCACTCCTCCCAATTCCCCACCTCCACCTCAGTCCATTCTCCCTTTGTCTCCCTTCAGAAAAGAGCAGGCCTTCTTGAGATAACATCAAACATGACAAAATACAGTTAAGACAGGACAAAAGCCTGCACTCGGATGCTGGACCAAGCAACCCAACAGGAGGAAGACTTCCCAAGACAGGCAAAAGTCACAGACACAGCCACTGGCACTGTGAGGAATATGACAAAAACGCAAGGCTAACAGCTGTGTCATAGGCAGAGGACCTCCTGCAGACCCCTGCAGGCCCGTGCTTGCTGCTCCATTCTCTGTGAGGCCCTAAGAGCCATGTTCTGGTGGCCTCCATCCTTTCTGACTCCTACATCTCACAGGGTCCTGATGGTGACCTCACATTTAAGCTGTATCTGCATAATTCCTGGCCATTGGTCTCTGTGTCCCCTCCCATCTGGTGCTGCAGGAAGCCTCTGATGACAGCTGGACACCGATCTAAGTATAGCAGAGCATTATTAGGAATCATTTCACTGACTTATTTGTTTGAATGGCCAATCATGTTTGGTTCTGACCTAGGTCTCTGGGCCATCCAGCCTCCAGTTCCTGACAGTCCAGGCACTGTCAGCTATGGGCTCCCTCTGGTGGAATGGGCCTCAGGTTGAATTAGACATTGGTTGGCCACTCCTGTAAGTTTTGTGCCACCATTGCCCCCACAGATCTTGAAGGCAGGATAGATTGTAGGGCAAAGGTTTTATGACTGGGTCAGTGTGGAAGTTTGAATGAAAATGGCCCCATAGGCCAAAACCTGAACCGTAAATTCTGTTTTCTGTCTCTGTTGACTGACACAGGTTGAAGAAGAAATGAACTCGACTTTCATTTTTGTTGGTGTGTTTTTTTTTTTTTCATCAAGGTGATGAGGAAACTGTTTGTCCCTATTTCCTTGTTAGTTTTCTGACAGGAACACACAGAGGCTCTGCTGGTTTGTAATCAAGTGTTCCAAGGCTTGCCTGAGTGAAAGCTTGTGACCCCCTCTTGGGGAATCCCCACACAGGAACACTATGTTGTGTTTGAACTTGCCCTATGGCAGATACACTCTGTCCACAGTTCCAAGAGGAATAGAACACAACATCCACCAAAGAGATGGTTGCTACTAGGCATTGCTGAAATAAAAATACTACAAGATGTGCAGACGATACGACAAAAAGTTCACAGAAGTCAGACTTACAAATGACACACTCATGGATACTTATGCACTAACTCTGCAGATAGGACAGGTACTGCCAATCATATAAACACATAAATAAGATAGCAAGGAAAAAAACCTTACGAAAGACATAAGAGACCTCTAAAATGGACACCAAAGAAAGAAACTGAGAAGGCACTAGAGGAAAGACCCTTGTTCTTGAACTGGCAGAAGGAATGTAGAGCAACTGACTATGTAACAAATGCAGGCTACAGATTCATTGTGTCACCACCAAAACTTAGCCACCTTCTTCTCACAACTAGCAAAATCAGTCTTGAGATTAAATGGAGCTCAGATGACCCCACATCCAAGATGATGCTGAACAATAGGCATCTGGAGGTGCCAAATTTCCAGGTATTAATAGAGCTGAGGTAAGGAGAACAGCTTGGTACAGGCCCAAAATGGACACGCAGACTAATAGAATACAAGGAGGGCCAAGAGATAAAACAACAAAAATAAAGCCAACTATTTATATACATATAAATAAATCTTTATGTGTGTGTGTGTGTATATATTAAAACATACATTGGAAAAGAGACAGCCTTGTCAATAAATAGTACTGGGAAAACTCGATCTCCACGTGCAGAAAAAGAAACTATTTTGTGTCTCGGTGTAGGCTTAGATTTCCACCAAGCCTACTTTATATAGGTTCTTAAGCACCTTTACCTCCCTTCTAACCTTCAGGCTATGAACAGTAACCAGTAGCCTTGGCAGTAGTTTGTGATGTTTGTGGTAACCTTGACCAATGACTCGACATGATGTAATGACACTCATTACATTCCTGGCACTCGAGGTGACGTAATATCTTTCTTGATAACATAAGCTGTCTCATTGGGGCACTGTCTTCTTCCGTACGTGGTGACACTATTGAAATTCCTTTCATATGTGTATAAGTTTTAGGGTGCTACTGTGGTAGTAGGTTTGGATATACCTTTTCAAATGGCTTCAATGCTTTTTGTCTCTCCATTCCCTCCTGTACCTTGCCCGCCCATTCCTTCCCACTTAATCCTATTCTAGCTCTTCATTTATCTCTGGGAATTGAACCCAGGTCCTCTGGAAGAGCAGCCAGTGCTCTTAACCACTGAGCTACCTCTGCAGTGCCCCTTCATTTGTCTCTTTATGACATAGTGAACTCTTATTCTCATTCTTTGGAGGATCCTATCATCCTCCCTGGTCCCTTACCAGCTGCCTAACCTCTGTTGTTTTCAGATGGAACCACACATGTCTAACACTTACAAGGGAACATCCACACATAGGAGAAACATGCTGTGTTTGTCTTTGGGGGACCGTGTTACCCCATTCAGGATGATTGATTCTAGATGCATTCATTTCCTTGAGAGTTTTGTGATTTGTTGTTTTCTTGACAGCTGAATAATGGTCCATTGTGTCAGTGTGTCACCTTTCCTGTGTCAGTCTATCAGCTCATGGATACTGATGATGTTTCCTGTTTGTGGCTATAATGCACAGCCCAGCAGTGAACATGGATGAGCAACTGCCTCTGTAGTAATATGTCTAGCACTTTGGGTCTGTTCCCGAGTGTATTTAAGCTGGATATTGCAACAGGGTCGATTTTCAGGTTTTTGGTAGGGTTGCTTGCTTCTGAAGGAGGCAACTTATCTTGGCTCTTGGTGTTTGTATTTTTTGCACTGGTATCTACAAATCTGTAGTTAAAATATCTGTTGTGTTTCTTGTTGTAAATATCTGGTCTTGTCTTGGTTGGGTGTGTGTTCTGGCTTTTGGATGCTTTATGCCCACTGTGGTCCTAATCAAGTGTGGTAGCTCTGTGGTCCCCAGGTTCCAGCATAGTGTGAGGGCTGTGAGGACCCTGTAGAGAGCTGTTCATGTCCTCAGATACTCAGAGGAATAGAGATGAGTAGAAGAAAACGCCTTAGGGTAGCAGGAAAAACATACAAGAGCTCTGGGTCATTTCTGAAAGCCCGAGGCCCAGGGGTGGAGATGTGGAGATGTGGAGATAGGCTCCTGTGGACAGACTGCCACAGGCTGAGGGTAAGTCTACAGAGACCAGAATGGAGGGCAGGAAGGAGGATGAAGGCCCCTTAGCTGAGTACTAGCCTAGTGTGGCAGCTGGGGCTCCCTGCTGGACAGAGACTCAGAGGACCATCAGAATCACAAAGGATTGGATGATCTAGGAGGAACGACTGAAAGGGGTCACAGGAAGAACTATGGGAACACTGAGTCTGTAGCAAGAGCCAAAATGGATATGTTGTTACTTTATGCATCAATTCCTAGTGTTTAAAAACACCCCTATTGCTGACGAGTCCTTTCCTGTTATGAGAAGATGCTGAAGGAAGGACCTAAGATAAACTATAGAAACTAGGGAAAGACCTGGGAAGGTGCAGCTACAGCAGCTGCTAACCTATAGTCTGTAATCTCTAGGGTTGTAAAGGATCTTGGGAAGTAGCAAATATAAGAAAGGAGGCTGAGCAAGGCATGAGGAGCAAGCCAGTGAGCAGTACCCTCCATGGCATTAGCCTCAGCTCCTGCCTGCCGGCTCTTGCCCGGCTTGAGTTTTTAACCTGACATCCGTTGGTGATGAACAGAAATAGATGTACAAGCAGAATAAACCCTTTCCTCCACGACTTGCTTTTTGATCACAGTGTTTCATTAGGAAAATAGAAACTCTAACTTAATGAGATCATCAAAGATAGAATTTCATGGTTGCTCATTATGTGTGGGTTTGGGTTTGTGTGTGTGTGTGTGTGTGTGTGTTTTTTTTTTTTTTGTTTTGTTTTTTTTGTTTTTTTTTTTGAGGTAGTGTCCTTTGTAGCCCAGGATAGCCTCAAACACCTGGCTGAGGGTGTCCCTGTATCCTGATCTTCCCACTCTGATCATACAGCCATTGGCTATTACATTTGGGGTATGTTTCACTGTGAAGATGAAGAAACTGACATCAACGGTGTTGAGAAGGTAAGATTTTCTAGGACAAATTCTCCTTTTCCAGGTCAAAAATATTTTTGATTGTCTCACTTTATTATTACTGATAAGATGAACAAACATGGAAATCTTAATAACATTATTTTGGGACTTGAAATCTTTCATTTATAACTTAGTTTCCTGCTATATTGTGAACTTTTAAAATCAATCATTGCTGATTTACAATATAACAGAAACCAAACAGGAAAAAAAATCTTCATTAGATATTTTGCACAAAAAAGTTCTTTTTATATTTATAATTTTTATTTAAAATTAGACAATTCCATATGTTTATATAATGCATTTTAGCCAAACTCCCCCACCCCAGCCAGCCCACATTTCCTGTCTCCCTTACAGTTGCTTCAACTACTTCTCTTTACAGGTTTCTTTCCCATAGTCATATCTTGGGGTTTTGTCTCGTGAGCCACAGAGTTTAAACAGAGCTGTCTGTGTGATTCTGGGCTTCAGACATTCCAGTGGAGCCTGGCAGGCTCAGAAGTGAGGATACATGTGAAATCAGTGACAGCCTCACTCCCATGATCCCCCAGTAGCAGGTAGTTCTGAGAATGGGGGTGGGGCCATTGTGTTTCTCTGTGATCCTTGCCTTGCCAATGAGGGGCCCAGTGTTCTGCAGGTAGCTGTGGTATTATGAGAAAGCTCATGGTTGCCCTGGCTGTGTCATGCCCACCATATCGCATTTCCAGCCCTTTTCAACTTCTGGCTCTTGCACACTTTCTCCAATGTCCTAAGCTTTGGAGGGGTGCTGTAGGTGTCCTGTTTGGGGCTAAGCCCTTAAGTATCACTTAGTCGTGGTACTGTGAGCAGCCATGGGTCTCTGCATTCACCACTGTTCACAATGATGGAATCTTCTCTGGGTAATGCTGGCTGTAGCAGTTGTCCATGAGTATAATTACAAACATTCAGAAGACAGTTTGGAACCACATCTATTTAAAGAACTGTAGAAACTTTCTCACCCAGGACCTGAGAACTTCCAGTTTCCTGTGGTGTAGTTGCACATAAGCACATGTGAAGAGGATACTCATTATAGAAGCTAAGGCCACATGATTCTTCCAGAACCCCCATGATGAGAGCTCAATGCCCTGGAATGTCAAGAACTCTTCACCAGAACATCTGAAATTCAACACACACAGAAAGTCAAAGTTTATTTAGTATATTCACTGATACTTCCCTTTAAAAAACTCAGTTTCAACACATCATTAAAAATTTCTTTATGAAAAGAAATTTGATAGATGTCATCAGATGCTTACAATTTTGTTATATATTATGCAAATTTGTTATATATTATGTATAAATTATGTATAAATTATACAAATTATACAAATTTGTTATATATTATGCTAATCAATGTAAACAACTGAATCAGGTACCTTAGTTAATTTAAAAAACAATCCAAACAGGAGTAGTTAGCACATGCACTTAAAACAGAAGCAGACTTAAAGAATTTGACCACATTTACAGAGTCACATTATAATCCAACTTTGTTGACTTACAAGGTCACACATTCATGTCTAAATCTACAAGGCTGCTCTCTGCAGGGACAAAAGCACAGATAACATACTTGCTACTCCTGAAGCAGAAATCCTCAGCTCCTAACAACACATAAAGACCTTCCAAAGAGATCAAAGCTTTGTGCAATTCAGCTGAGCCATGAGACAGTCATGCGAAAGAACACAGCACAGAATTCTAGACTGGGGAGATCAAGGGTTTCTGACAGGAGTCTGTCAGTTCCTGTCAGCTCCTGAACTAAGGCTGCAGTGACAACCGCAGATGCTTAGCTATAGGACATCCCCAGCAGCCTTGGTGACAGTGGAGCCTGGGTGACAGTGGAGCCTGGGTGAGAGTGGAGCCCAAGGAGACTTGGAGCACAGCAGGATGCCATGGTCCTGACACAGGGTACAAAAGCAGCTGCTGCTGAAAATACTGCAAACAGCTACAATTACTGCTGTGCATTTCCACCCCTGTGTCCCTCCACTCCCTTGTATCTCTTTGGATTTGGCAGCTCACAAATCTGCTGAAAGAGCAGATTTCTTCTTTTCCTTTTGTGAGGACAAAGCTGTGAGTATGACATCATCTATGTCCTCCTGCATAGAAACTGATTAGGAATTTGTATTAGACAGGTGCCAGACCACACCAGGAGGGAGGAGATGTGGGAAGTAAGATCTCCACAATACAGGTAATCTCAACAGTAATTGAAAGCACAAATTTGTATTTCTATTATTATTATTTTGAATATCAATGAGATGTAATATTAGCATATTCCTCTCTTGTTTATATATCAAAATCAAAATATGAGAATGATCATAGAAGGTGAAGGTATTGAAACTTTAAAATAATGCACTCTAATTTAATTTAAAAATCTGTGTTTCTATTTTAATGGCATTGGACAAAAATGAGATTTCCATCCCAACATACTGAATCATATGTTACTTCAATTGCAGGACATAGCCTCTGACAGGACATTTCACACACACACACACACACACACACACACACACACACACACACCTTTGATTTCTTGAAGTCTTCCAGTGTGTAAGGCAGAGAGAAGGCTGAATGCTGGCAGGCAGAGCTCATCACTGCTCATCCTTGCTGCCCTGACATTCTTGGGCTTGGCCCACAGAACCATAATCTATACACATAGAAACTCTGTGCCCTTGCTAGACTATCAGAGCAGCCCATATCCAACTCAAATGTTCTGAAACAAGGAACTCAAATCCACAACAAACACCAAGACCAATTGTCAAGAGGCCCCAAAGAGCACTTTCTGCATATTATCTACATCATGGAGCAGAAGGGTCCAAACACATTCACACGTGCGTGGTAGGCATGACTCACTCTGGGGAAGAGGCATAAAACAGGGTTAACCCTGAAAGGACAGGCTGCCCTCTAGGTGTACTAGCATCCTGTGTCTGCACTGAGGCACTGAACCCAAGCTTACATTACGTAGTTCTGACATCTGCTGAGTTCTTCTTCATTGGCTTCTAGACAGAAGGTTTGTCCCAAGAACTCATTGTGCAACAAAGCCTGTAACATAAACAGGAACCCAGAAGGGTAAATTGTTTCATATATCCATAAGTTTCCAAAAGAATGAATACAGCTGACTTGAAGTTCAATCTTTACTGCTATTTGCAATTGTTCTTAAACACAAAACCTACCAGGTTTACAGTCTGCCCACAAAGCAATCAGGAGGCTTAGGATTGAAATGATGGTCCTTCCAATCAACTAAGAGAAGGATTCTCTAACTACATTACCCCAGACCTCCTCCTTCCATACCCTCTAAGTCCATAACCCCATAAACACTGTAATTAAAACAACACAATTCATTGAGTGAATGCTACTGGTTTATAGTAACAATATTGTTTGCTTTTCATCAAAAGCAATTGTGACTATTGGAGTTAGAAAGTATTTGAAGACACTTTCCTACAGAGATAGGCTTGTAAAGCCAATATGGTTATGGGTATCAGATGATTTATTTCTTTTAATTTCCTGATATGAACTATATATCATAGTCTCTAATCCTTTTATCCTTTCCTTTTTTTGGGTAGAAACACGGTGATAGGTGTAGAGGAATTTTAATTCAGAACAAGGCTGCTCTGGCAAGAGATCACATCCAAAGACCTTCTAGGTCTGAGTGATCCAGCTGGAATACAAACACACCTTTAATCCAGGAGACAGAGGAAAGCAGATTTGGGCTCAAGGACAGCCTGGTATAGAGCAAGTTTCAAGATTAAAAAAAAAAAAAAAAAAGTTTAGGGCGAGGTGTGGTGCATGCATTTAATCCCAAACAATGAAGGTAAAGTTAGTTTGTAGGAGGAAGCACCCATGTTTGGATATGTTGTTTATTTGAATGACAGAGAAAGTAACGAATCAGAGAAAGATTTGAGAGGACAGGATATACCCAACTCTCACAAGAACATAAAGAGATACTACTTAAGGGAGCAACACAGAGAATGAGAGAGTGAAGGCAGTTTTACAGGGTCAGTAAACAGAGACATTCCAGAGAGACAGACCTCAGGTGAAGACCAAATGAGCCAGAGAATGAAAAGGAGTCAGGAGATTAGAGCAGATTGCTTGAGTTAGTTTGAGTCCAAGCAGAGCAACTCAAGGATGGAGAGAAGGGATAAGTCAACTGGAAGAGGAGTTGGAGCCAGAACAGCTGAGTTGAACCAGCCAGACCAGAGCACAGTAAGATAAGAAAGGGTGAGCTTATTAGGCAGTGAGTCTCAGAGGCTGAAAATGTTCTAGGCCTAGCTTAAATTTTACAGATGCCAGACGCTTCCAGGACTAGGCCTAGGTTAGCAGACAGAGATAGTAAGTCTCAAGACAACAACTGAAACAGGAGAATAAAATTTCCTTTTCCATGTGTTTTCCCCCATAACATCCATCTTTTCTCTACTCTGAGATTTATCTCAGCTTTCATTTCCCTCAAATAACCCAGATGACTTACTGACCTAGGGCTAACCTCTCTTGCTCCTAGAATGATCTTCCTGGGTCAGAGCTGCTTAGAGCCTACAGCTGGGGAAAGGGCACAGTTGAGATTCATTTCCTTTACTGCAGTTGGAGGACGCTGTACAGTGTCAGAGAGGACAGTTTACCTGGAATCCATAGTGAGGGATGTTAAAGTACTGAATCCATGAGAGTTCAGGCGATAAGCTTCCAAAATCTAGGGACAGACCCGATAAAACCTACAGAGGGCAGAGACATGAGTCAGAACTAATTCGGTGACTCAGACTTCTACAAAAGAGCCTCTGTCTTCAAGACCCCTACATCCTTCTGACCATTTCTATTCGGATCAGACTTTTTTAAAAAACATTCTTTCTGCTAACTCCAGACAGAAGCCTTCACTCTTGGTCAAACCAGGATACTTCATGTGATTAAAAAGAAAGACCTGCTCCCCAACTCTGCAGAAGCCAAACCCTATGGATGCTCACATTATAATTAAAGTAACACGTAACCTACGCACATCCTCTATACTTTAAATACATCTGTCCCACATATGTGAAATCCTCCTTATCATATCTAATTTGTGTAGCTCTATAGTTTATAGTGCACAGTTCAGGGGGTGGAGATGTTCAGAGCAGAGCATTATTTGTTTCATGTATTTTCAATATGTGGTTAGTTAAACCTTTGACAATATGACAGGCCAACCATAGTGACGATTCTAATAAACTGCTGCCACCTACATCAAGAACACACATGGGAAGAATGCTGTCCTGCCTCTTTTATATCAACTTGACACAAGCTAAATTCACTGGAAAGGAGCGACCCTCCATTAAGAAAATGCCTCTATGAGATCAGCTGAGGTCAAGCCTGGGGGAGGGGCCATTTCTTTATTAGTGACTGATGGGACAGGGCCCAGTCCAGGGTGGGTGGTGCCATCCCTTGCTGGTGGTCCTGGGTTCTATAAGAAAGCGGGCTAAGCAGTCATGGAGAGCAAGCCAATAAGCAGCACCTCCATGGCCTCTGCATCTGCTCCTGCCGCCAGGTTCCTGTCCTTCTTGAGTTCCTGTCCCAACATCCTTTGGTGGTGAATAGCCATGAAGAAGTGTAAGCTGGACAAGCCCTTTCCTCTAAATTATTTGGCCATAATGTTTCGTCTCTGTAATAGAAATCCTAACTACGACAAACACTGAACCTCAAGTTAATAGAACTTTCCATTTACAAGAATTTTCAGTCTCTCTTCATGAATTTGGGAGTAATTTGGAATTTAAAATACAACTTAAGATAACCTGAAGCCTGGCACTGATAAACTGCACAATGTGGAAGAGCAGAAAATGTGCCCAAAGCCCCATTTAAGAGTCCCCAAACCTCAGCATCCCAACAGAGGGGACAGAAAGGACTGGTGGGGACAAACAAGAGACAGCTGTGACAGTCACATAAAACTTGCCCTATCTGGCCGTATCCTAGACCATCAAAGCAATGACTGTGGGGACATGCATTCAGACTTGACCAGAGCGATTGCTCCCACACCATATACAGCATCTGGCTTCAGACCCAAATCCTATGGGTCATTCAGGTTCCTCAGCTACCAGCCAACATCAACGCCAGCCAGATGGCTAAAGGCCAGTGTCAGAACATACTCAACAAGGGCCAGGGCACTACAGTATCAGCAGAGCTCAGTTGTCCTAGCAGAGCAAGTCCTGGATATCCTGACATGGGCAAAGCACAGAAGGATAACCTTAAATCCAACCACAGCAGAAATGATATGAACATCAGCACACAAATGGCTCTACTTATGGGATATGCTTGGTGCAAAATGCAGAATCTGGTTGGACTTGTCTGTTGACTGATATGCATTAAGTGTGTAATTTGTGGCCATGGAAAACTAAGACTGGGCAACCAGTTTTAAAGAGATAGCAGAAGCTTGTCTACACAGGAGACTGACTTATTTGTGCCGACCTAGTTGTGTGAACTATTCCTAATGCTTTTCCAGACCTGGGTGAGCCTGAGATAGAGTTCTCATGGGAAAGATGCACATTGCTCAGTACCTTCACTCTCCCATGCATGGCTAGTGAATAAACCAAGCCTTCTTTGCAGCACTTAAAATGGCAGGCAAGTCTCCTACACCAGCAAGAAAGAAAGGCAGCCATCTGTTCCTTCTGTGAGGGAATCAGCCAATCACAGTGGTTTCCTGAAATTCCAGTTCATTATGGTTTTGCAATAAGAAGCCCAAGAGAGAGGTGGGGCAAGATGGTGGTGCTGGGAGGACTCTCATTCTGACCAGCAGCACAGCAGGATCGGCACAGTGACCAGTAATCAGAACTCGCGGCCATAAAACACAGTGATTATGTTTCCCAGGAGAGAGGATACCCCACGGTGGGGGATTCAATCAGCTCTTAACTCACCCGGCTAAACCTCGGAAGAGATCCTGGTTCCTCCAGATGCTTGACTGCCAGCCCCAGCCCAGAACTACATGCCAGTGTCTCTGGTCACAGTCCCAGACAGAACCATGCACACCACAGTATCAGAGACTGCAATTTTCAGGTGAGAGATAACCCCACAGTGCAGGAAACGACTGGGGCCGACCTTTTCCAGACATCCCCTGGAAAAGACTCGGGTTCCACAGGCATCCCAGGAGCCAGCCTGGAGCCAGAGCCGGGGACCCAGGCGCCTGCACAGAGCCCTGCCTGCGTGCCTGATTCGCAGCCTCAGATAGAACTGTGGGCACCAGGGCACCAGCGATTGAGTTTCACTGTCTGGTGTAAACACACAGGGAGGGAAATGGCTGGTCTGATATCAGAGCACTCAGCCGACACCCCCACCCCAAAAAGGTCTTTGGAAAATTACCCAGTTTAGGCAGACACGCAGGCTCCCAAAGGCCGGAAAGGCAGACACAGGCAGTTTCTGCATGCCAGCCAGCTGGCGGAGACTGAGCAGTGCGCCCCTGGGCAAAAAAGAGACTGGGAGTCCCTGTCTCCAGAGAATCCACAGAGAAGGAAAGAAACTGTACTGACTTAAATCACCCAGTCCTTCCCAGGAAAAAGTCTCGCAGACTGGCGGGGCTGAGCCACCATCACTCAGCTGTGCTCCAGACACAGGCACAAACAATTGCTACGTGCCAGATGTCCAACTGGTTCACAGCAGCTGATCATTAAATTTACAGCAAGAAACCCAGAAAAAGGGCAGCTGTCCTCAGGACTTCCCTGGGTGAGAGGAGAACCCTCTCGACTAACAAAGACCACAGTTACCACTCAGGTCTCTATCCCTGAGGTGAGCAGCAGCAACTCCTGAAAAAACGCCAGCCATCCAGGGACTATACCCAAAAAGCTGAGAAGACTTCTTTCAGGAAAAACCAGCTTTCTGCCAAGGGGATTCTCTCCACCACAGGATCCCCAGGAACCACCAGAAAATAACCCCAAACATCTAAGGTAGCACAATGGGTAGAGGCCAGTATAAAAGCTCAAGCAACAAAAGACAGAGCAATATGGCATCTCCAGAATGCAGTTACACAGAAGCAAGTAGCCCTGGACACCCCAACATAACTGAAATCCAAGAAGATGACCTAACAACTATGCTCATGAAGATGATAACAGAGGAAACAAATAAGATATGTAAAGACATAGAGGAAGATAAACTCAAAGAGAAAATTGCCATCTGTAAAAAAATAGAGGAAGCTGCAGCCAAACAGTTCATGGCCTTTAGAAAGGAAATGCTTAAAGCATTGAATGAAATAAAAGAAACAGAATTGAAGGAACTAAAAGAAAAAGAGGAAAGTACAATCAGACAGGTAAAGGAAGTAAACAAAACAACTCAAGACCTGAAGATAGAATTGAAAAAATTAAAGAAAACACAAATGGAGGAAATAATGGAGAGGAAGAATCTAGGGAAGAAAACAGGAACTACAGAGGTAAGCATAACCAACAGACTACAAGAGATGGAAGAAAGAATCTCAGATGTAGAAGATACAATGGAAGAAATCGATATATCTGTCAAAGAAAATGTTAAATCCAAAAAATTCCTGACAGACCATCCAAGAAAGCCAAGACAATATGAAAAGACAAAACCTAAGAATAATAGGTATAGAGGAAAAAGAAGAATCACTTCTCCAAGGCCCAGAAAATATTTTCAACAAAATCATTGAAGAAAATTTCCCCAAGTTAAAGGAGAGGCCAATAAGAATACATGAGGCCTACAGAACACCCAACAAATTTGACCAGAAAAGAAAATCCTCCCGCCACATAATCATCAAAACAGTAAGTATACAGAACAAAGAAAAAATACTAAAAGCTGCAAGGGAAAAAAGCCAAGTAACATATAATGGCAAACCCATTAGAATCACACCTGACTTTTCAACTGAGACTATGAAAGCCAGAAGGGCCTGGATGGATATCATGCAGACCCTAAGAGAACACAGATGTCAGCCCAGGCTACTATACCCTGCAAAGCTCTCAGTCCTCATAGACGGAGAAAACAAGATATTCAATGACAAAAACAAATTTCAACAATACCTACACACAAATCCAGTATTACAGAAGACACTGGAAGGGAAAATACAACCCCAAAAAATTAGCTTCTTTCAAGAAAACACAGGAAATGATTAACCTTACTACAGTAAAACAAAAGGCAACCAAGCACACAACCTGATGATCACAGCCAACATCAAAATCAAGGGATCTGACAGCCACTGGTCATTAATCTCTCTCAACATCAAGGGACTCAACTCTCCAATAAAAAGATACAGATTAACAGAATGGATATGTAAACAAAACCCAGCAATCTGTTGCATACAAGAAACACACCTAAGGCACAAAGATAGACATTACCTGAGGGTAAAAGGTTGGAAGACGACTTTCCAAGCAAACGACCCAAGAAGCAAGCAGGAGTAGCCATTCTAATATCTGATAAAATAGACTTTCAACCAAAATTAATCAAAAGAGGTGGGGAAGGACACTTCATACTCATCAAAGGAAAATTGCATCAAGAAGACATCACAATCCTGAACATCTATGCCACAAATACAAGAGAACCCACATTTGTTAAAGAAACAGTGATAAAATTTAAACCACATATAGATCACCACACATTAATAGTGGGAGACTTCAACACCCCACTCTCAACAAAGGACAGGTCAACAAAACAGAAATTAAACAAAGAAACAATGTCTCTAACAGAGGTCATGAATCAAATGGACCTAACAGACATTTACAGAACTTTACACCCAAACACAAAAGAATTTACCTTCTTCTCACCACCTCATGGAACCTTCTCCAAAATAGACCATATAGTTGGTCTCAAAGCAAGCCTCAACAGATACAAGAAGATTGAAATAATCCCTTGTATCTTGTCTGATCACCATGGAATAAAACTGGACCTCAACAATAACAGAAATAGCAAACAGCCTACCCACACATGGAAAATGAACAACTTGTTACTAAATGACAGCTGGGTCAGGGAAGAAATAAAGAAAGAAATTAAAGACTTCCTAGAACTCAATGAAAATGAAGACACAACATACCCAAACTTGTGGGACACAATGAAAGCAGTGCTAAGAGGAAAGTTCATAGCACTAAGTGCCTTCAAGAAGAAATTCGAGACAGCTCATTCAAGCAACTTAATGGCTCACTAAAAAACCCTAGAAGAAGAAGAAGAAGAAGAAGCAGACACACCAAGAAGGAGTAGACGGCTGGAAATAATCAAACTCAGGGCTGAAATCAATCAATTAGAAACAAATAAAACAATTGAAAGAATCAATGAAACCAAGAGCTGGTTCTTTGGGAAAATCAACAAGATAGACAAACCCTTAGCCAAGCTAACTAAAAGGCAGAGAGATACTACCCAAATCAACAAAATCAGAAATGAAAAGGGGGACATAACTACAGACACTGAGGAAATCCAAACAATCATTAGGACTTACTTCAAAAGTCTATACTCAACAAAATTTGAAAATCTAAATGAAATGGACAATTTTCTTGATCGATTTGACTTACCAAAGCTGAATCAGGACCAGGTAAATCAATTAAATAGTACTATACCTCCCACAGAAATAGAAGTGGTCATCAAAAGTCTCCCATCCAAGAAAAGCCCCGGACCAGATGGCTTCAGCGCAGAATTCTACCAGACCTTCAAAGAAGAGCTAACACCAATTCTCTTCAAACTATTCCACAAAATATAAACAGAAGGAACATTACCAAACTCATTCTATGAGGCCACAGTCACCTTGGTACCTAAATCTCACAAAGACTCAACAAAGAAAGAGAATTTCAGGCCAATCTCCCTTATGAACATTGATGCAAAAATACTCAACAAAATACTTGCAAACCGAATCCAAGAACACATCAAAGAAATTATCCACTATGACCAAGTAGGCTTCATTCCAGGTATGCAGGGGTGGTTCAATATGCAGAAATCCATCAATGTGATCCACCATATTAACAAACTGAAAGAAAAAAACCACTTGATAATCTCCCTAGATGCTGAAAAAGCATTTGACAAAATCCAACATCCATTCATGTTTAAAGTCTTGGAGAGATCATGGATACAAGGCACATATCTAAACATAGTAAAGGCGATATACAGCAAGCCTATAGCCAACATCAAACTGAACGGAGAGAAACTTAAAGCAAGCCCACTGAAATCAGGGACAAGACAAGGCTGCCCACTCTCTCCATATCTCTTCAACATAGTGCTGGAAGTCCTTGCTAGAGCAATAAGACAGTTGAAGGAGATCAAGGGGATACAGATGGGAAAGGAAGAAGTCAAATTATCACTATTTGCAGATGATATGATAGTACACATGAGTGACCCCAAAAACTCTACCAGGGAACTCCTACGTTGATAAATACCTTCAGCAAAGTGGCCGGATACAAAATTAACTCAAAAAAATCAGTAGCCCTCCTGTATACAAAAGACAAAGGGCTGAGAAAGAAATTAGAGAAACAACACCATTCACAATAGCCACAAATGACATAAAGTACCTTGGTGTAACCCTAACCAAGCAAGTCAAAGACTTGTATGAAAAAAATTTCAAGTCTCTGAAGAAAGAATTAGAGGAAGATATGAGAAGATGGAAAGATCTCCCATGCTCATGGCTTGGCAGGATTAACATAGTAAAAATGGCCACCTTACCAAAAGCAATCTACAGATTTAATGCAATTCCCATCAAATTGCCAACACAATTCTTTACAGACCTGGAAAGAAAAATTCTCAACTTTGTATGGAATAACAAGAAACCGAGAATTGCTAAAACAATCCTCTACAATAAAAGATCTTCTGGAGGTATCTCCATCCCTGATCCAAGCTGTACTATAGAGCAACAGTTATAAAAACTGCATGGTACTGGCATAGAAACAGAAGGTGGATCAATGGAACCCAACAGAAGACCCAGAAATAAACCCACACACTTATGGACACCTGATTTTTGACAAAGATGCCAAAACCATACAATGGAAAAAAGATAGTATCTTCAACAAATGGTGCTGGTCTAACTGGATGTCTACATGTAGAAAAATGCAAATAGATCCATACTTATCACCCTGCACAAAATTGAAGTCCAAGTGGATCAAAGACCTCAACATAAAATCAGACACATTAAATCGGCTAGAAAAAAAAGTGGGAAATATCCTAGAACTCATTGGTACAGGAGAAAACTTCCTGTACCTGAACAGAGCACCAACAGCACAGGCTCTAAGAGCAACAATCAATAAATGGGACCTCATGAAACTGAAAAGCTTCTGTAAAGCAAAGGACACTGTCATCAAAACAAAACGACTGCCTACAGATTGGGAAAGAATCTTCACCAACCCTTTATCTGACAGAGGACTCATATCCAGTATATATAAAGAACTAAAGAAGCTGAAAAGCAGCAAACCAAGTAATCCACTTAAAAAATGGGGAACAGAGCTAAACAGAGAACTCTCTGTAGAGGAATATCGAATGGCAGAGAAGCACTTAAAGAAATGTTCAACCTCATTATCCATTGGGGAAATGCAAATCAAAATAACCCTGAGATTTCACCTTACACCCATCAGAATGGCCAAGATGAAAAACTCAAGTGACAACACATGCTGGAGAGGTTGTGGAGCAAGGGGAACTCTTCTTCACTGCTGGTGGGAATGTAAACTTGTACAACCACTCTGGAAATCAATCTGGCGCTTTCTCAGACAACTAGGAATAGCGCTTCCTCAAGATCTAGCCATACCACTCCTAGGCATGTATCCAAAAGAGGCTCAAGTACACAATAAGGACATTGGCTCAACCATGTTTGTAGCAGCTTTATTTGTAATAGCCAGAAGCTGGAAACAGCCCAGATGCCCCTCAACTGAAGAATGGATGCAGAAATTGTGGTACATCTATACAATGGAGTATTACTCAGCAATGAAAAATAAGGAAATCATTAAATTTGCAGGTAAATGGTGGGACCTGGAAAGGATCATCCTGAGTGAGTTGTCCCAGAAGCAAAAAGACACGCATGGTATATACTCACTCATATAAACATACAACATATGATAAACCCACTAAAATCGGTACATCTAAACAAACTAAGCAAAAGAGAGGACCCTAACTAAAATGTTCAATCCCCATCCTGAAAGGCAAAGAGGATGGACATCAGAAGAAGAAGAAAACAGGAAACAACCTAGGAACCTGCTACAGAGGACCTCTGAAAGCCAGAAGAAGAAAACAGGAAACAACCTAGGAACCTGCCACAGAGGGCCTCTGAAAGCCTCTGCCCTGCAGACTATCAAAACAGATGCTGAGCCTGATGGCCAACTGTTGGGCAGAGTGAATGCAATTTTATGTAAGAAGTGGGAAATAGCAAGAGCTGGAGAGGACAGGAACTCCACAAGGAGAGCAACAGAACAAGAAAATTTGAACACAGGGAACTTCCCAGAGACTCATACTCCAACGAAGGACTATTCATGGAGATAACCTAGAACCCCTGCCCAGATGTAGCCCATGGCATTTTAGTGTTCAAGTGGGTGCCATAGTAATGGGAAGAACAACTGCCTCTGACATAAACTGATTGGCCTGCTCTTTGATCATCTCCCCCTGAGGGGGGAGCAGCCTTACCAGGCCACAGAAGATGACAATGCAGCCATTCCTGATGTGATCTGATAGACTAAGATCAGAAGGAAGGAGAGGAGGACCTCCCCTATCAGTGGACTTTGGGAGGGGCATGCATGCAGAAAGAGGAGGAAGGGTAGGATCAGGAGCGGAGGAGGGAGGGGCTTATGGGGGGGATACAAAATGAATAAAGTGTAATTAATAATAATAAAAAAAATTTTTAAAAAACCCAAGAAATGTTTCCTGAAAGGGGATGTTAATTACATCGTAGAAGTACATGAGAGGAGTAGCCACAAAGGAGAGCAAAGGTGACTCCATTTCCACTGCAGACCATAATAAGCTCCAGCATAAGGCCTCATTGTCCACGCACTGATTTGTCAAGTGGGTTAAGGTATAAAATGTGAGAAGAAACACGAGGAAATCTTTTCTCTCAGAAGATCCGACTCACCAGCATGAACACAAAGTAGATGGTCACCAGCAGTGTTGACACAACCACAGCATTCTCCCCTGTGTGTACAGACAGTGACAGGGAGCTGGCAGAATAAGTCAGCAGCATCATGGTGAGCATCATGGTGAAGAAGCCCTTCACACTTGCTATTGCTCCTTACAGGGAAAAGAAGTGTGTCAGCCGGGCAGCCAGGTCAACGGAATTGTACAGGTTTCAGACAACAATTTTATCATCGGAGGGACTCGTGAGAGCTTCACAGTTACTGGACTATTCTGCATCTCCAGCGTCATTATGTCCTTCCGTGTGACTACCTAAGACCTGTTCTCCTTCATACATGATTGACGACATCCTGACAAGGAGAACTGCAGGCACACAATTGGCCAAAAATCCTACTGCCTTCTCCCATGGAGGAATCACCAGCTCAAATGGTCATGTGTACATTCCCCTGTGATTACTAGTCATAAATTTCACTAGTCATAAATGTGGGATGAGGACTGCACCATTTTGGTCACTTTAGCACAAGCTAGGGTCACAAGGAAAGAGGGAGCCTCCTCAGGAGAATACTCCTCCCAGACTGTGAGGTCTCAGGTGGGTGTGGGAGTGCCCACACTGGGCAGGAGGCTCTGGGTTAAGTGAGAAAGCAGGCCAAGAGAGCCATGGCAGCCAGCAGGCAGGCAGCACCCTCCACGGCCTGTGCCCCTTCCTGCCTATAGGCTCCTGCCCTGACTTCCCTTCCTGACATGCCGTGAGCTCACAACAGTGAGTTAAACAACCACAAGGTGGCTTTAGCCTTAGAGGACAGAGTCATCTCCACCTCAGTTTCCCCAGGAAATCACCACAGAACTGCTGTGGAGGGTATCAGTCCTCCTGGGCTGATGTGTAGTCTGTATGGACCAAAAACTCCGAGTCACACATAGTCGTGTGTTCTGTAACAGTCACAAGCAAGCAGGGTACAGTCTGGGGAGCTGAGTTGCCAGTTCTTTAAAAATGTCATTAATGTTGTTGTTGTGTGTATAATTCATGAGTGTGTACGGGTGTACATGTGTCATGGCGTATACCTATCATGGCTATCACGTGTCATGATGCACACATGAGATTGTAGGGCAGCTTTCTGGAGTGATTGTCTCTTCCACTGTGGATTCTGCTGCTCACACTCAGGGTGTCAGCTTGCAGGACAAGCACATTTACCCATAAGCCTTGCCATTACTTAAAAGACTGATCCTGGGAGATATATCTCTTCTAAAACCAAGTCTAAGCTTTCTGAGCACTTGTTTTTTCATAAGTGTGTCTGTGTATACATGTGTGTGTACACATGTGGGTGTGAAAAGTATGGAAATTCTAGAGTCTAGGGTGAAGCCAAATTGTAGTGCCCAAATGAATCTGTGTCTTTAGTTTAAGTCATGGTTTATATTATATAATTTCAATGAATCATTATTCAGTGTCCTCTCTCTTTGTTAGATGGTAGCATAGGACAATGTATGCATTAGGATTTTTATACATATATACACATTTGTGAGATATTACTCACTTTGTGTACTTTATTTCCATGTAGACACACTTATGCATGACCCCAGAGGAAGCACACAGCTGAGACGTGGCTCAGTGTTTAAGAGCAGCCCAGGGTTCAGTTCCCAGCAGCACATGGTGGCTCCTTCTCATGTAACTCCCCTTCCACACTCGACATCCTATTCTGGCCTCCATTCAGTTAGTGCATGCCTGTATGCACAGAGACACACACTCAGGCAAACACGCAAATAAGGAAAAAGCTTTACAATACACGTTGATAGCTAGCTAGTAAATGATTTTGCTCTCTTGCCACTGCCTGAAATGTGTGAGTTATTCCTCATTATAACACACAGAGGAACTTAGTTAAACCACGGTTTCATTAACAACTTTTGGTGTTCCTTTGGAACAAGTCTTAGAGCCTCTCCTCATGCTGAACACCTGTTTGGCCAGCACAAGGTGGAGACATGCTTTTCTACTTGAAGGCTTGCCACAATTGTACAAATCACAACACACTCCTAACAGACAAAAGATGTGCTCCTAACAGACACAATCTATGCCCCCTGGCTCTGCTCAGCTGGCCCCTGGCTCTGCACAGCTGCTCCCTGGCTTTGTCCTGCCCTTCAGCCTAGAGGGCTACTCTCCTCCCTCCGGGCAGCTTTGCCTCCCCAACTCCCATTTGCTGCTAAACCCAGGACACATAGCTCTATCAAGCCCCTGACATACTTTGGGGGGTTCAGGAGTGAACTGTGATTTTTGACCCCCTACTGCTGCTTTGTCTGCAGCGCTGAGGTCTGAGGACAGCACCCCTGATCTGAAACTTTCACCAAGCTGCAGACACCTCTGCTCTTGATTTCCCATCCATTTTTCCAGTTAACATTAGTAATCTCTTTCCAGCCTTCAAAACACATGGTGAACCCCATATTTCATATTTTCTTACCAGTTATGAGAGGAAAGAGAATAGTTGGAAATAACCACCTGGGTCCCAACTCCACCAGCAGCTTCCCAAGGAAGTACGGCAGCACTCCGTAGTACCCACTGGTGTGCTCGTGTCTGCGGAAACAACAGGACCCGTCACACATCCTAGATTAGTGCAGAAGGCACAGGTGAGATGCTGGCTACACTGACCTCTGCTACCTCAGGACCTGACAGTACAGCATCACCCAAGAACCCAGCTGACTCCTGTATGCCCGCATCTTAGAGACCAGCGTCCCCTGTGCTCCCAAGGTTCTCCCACACACCCCATCTTAGAGACCAGCACCCCCAGGCCACCACCCTCAGGACATCTCACTATGACTCCCCATCAGAGAACTCTCCCATCTTCCACTCTAGCTCAGAGCAGCCCCTGCAGGGAAACAGGCCACTGTCCCCACTCTCCTCAGACTCTGCTTCCTGAGGAGCAGAGCTCAGCACCCACCTCAGACTGTGCTTACAGAGACTCCACTCCGGCCCCTTCTTATGGAGAAGGTGACACTGCCACTCTGAGGTCACTGTGCAGCACTATGCCACCACATCCTTCTCTTCTGCATCTCTCACTGGAGAGACTTCTTCCTCCAATAATCTCACTCTACACACGACCCCTTACCAGCTACCACACCTGGTCCTGCCCTCCCAGGATCTTTCTCTAAGCCAAACGCCAAGCTCTTCCCACTCAGTGAATTCATTCTTGATCTCTCTCTCTCTCTCTCTCTCTCTCTCTCTCTCTCTCTCTCCCTTTCTGAGAAAGAACCACTAGTGCAGGCTGGCCTCAAACTCCACATGTAGGCAAGAATGACCATCCTCCTGTCCCTGTCCCTAAGACCTGGGAGCCAGGGAAAACCAGCCATTCTGAGGCTTATGTGGTAGTGGGAATCTACCCCAGGGCTTCAAGCTCTCTGCCAACTTAACTGCGCCCACTGCTCTTCTCTGAGGACTCCTTTACTTGGAGTCCTTGTGTCTTTTGAAACAGTGTCTGAAGCACAGGCTAGCAGGAGAGGGTGTCCCATATTTGAAAGCCCTGGCATCAAACAGCTGTCTGCTGCACAGCTGCCTGCTTGCTCTGCACAGTTGCCCCCTGGCTCTCTCCAGCTGCCCCTGCTCTGCCCAGCCCTTCATCCTAGCAGGCTACTCTCCTACCTCCGGGCAGCTTTGCCTCCCCAACTCCCATTTGCTGCTAAACCCAGGACACATAAGCTCCATCAAGCCCCTGACATACTTTGGGGGGTTCAGGAGTGAACTGTGATTTTCGACCCCCTACTGCTGCTTTGTCTGCAGCGCTGAGGTCTGAGGACAGCACCCCAGATCTGAAACTTTCACCAAGGTGTAGACACCTCTGCTCATGATTTCCCATCCATTTTTCCAATTAACATTAGTAATCTCTTTCCAGCCTTCAAAACACATGGTGAACACCATATTTCCTAACTTGTCTACTTTTGAAATGAACAAGGACAAAAGGAAAAAATACTGGTAATTCCTGAGGTCACACTCTAGGCCCAACTGCAAGTGTGATCAACTTGATGAGGAAGGACTGAGGCCTGCTGGAGTAGGGGCTACTCACAGAAAGCGATCCCTGTCAGTCACAAAGAGCTTCCCTGCACATATGCCGGTGATGCACTGGAAACCTGTTAGCAGGAAAAGCAGGCCGGCTCTGCCACGAGACAAGGGAGACAAAAGCAAACCACAAGTTCAACTTTAGCACAGTTTCTTCCCAACCGAGCTTGTTTGGGAGAATAAATTACATCACACAGATTTTGTTAAAAAGAAAAATAAAATAAAAGGGCTAGAGAGACGACTCCCCAGGAAAGAGTGCTAGTTGCTCTAGCAAAGGGCTCAGGTTTGGTTGCTGACACCCAGGCTGTGGGTCACAACCATGTGTCCTTGCTGGATTTCCGGGGATCCTGTGCTGGGGAGTTTTACTCCAACATGACAGAAGCCAGAATTATCTGAGAGCAGAGAACCTCAACGGGTAAATGATTCCAAAAGATACAGCTGTGGTCACACCTGCAGGGCATTTTCGTAATTAGTGATTGGTGGGGGAGGGCCCCGCCCATGGTGGGTGGAGCCATCCCTGGACTTTGGTCCTGGTTCTATGCTGAAGCAGGCTGAGCAAGCCAGTAAGCAGCACTTTCCATGGCCTCTGCAGGCCCCTGCCCCGTTTGGGATGGATTTCCATGCCCTCATATGATCGCCACGGGCACCGGGGCACACATGTGGTGCATAGACATACATGCAGACAACACTCATACACATAAAAATTTAAATAAGTAGTTTTAAAAAGAAAGAAAAGAAAACTGTAGAGATATTCTGCTTTTTTTAAAAAAAGGGGGTGGGGAGAGGGCAGAGGTTGTCAGAAGCTGTGAGTCCTGTGGATCATTTGCCTACTCTGTCTTCAAAGCAGTTTCTAGTGCTGAAGTGGGTCCTCTAAACCCCAGCAACATGTCAATGAGTCCTAATGTCACCACCCTTGAGTGTGTCCTTTCTGAGTTAACTAGTTTCAGATGAAATCATGGAGGTAGAGACCCATAGTGTCGAGTGTCATCTGTGTCCTCACAGGGGAGAGACAGCAACAGAGTCTCTGCCATGACAGGGCTCTCAGGGAAGGAGCCAGACAGGAAAAGCCCAGGAGAGAATCCTTACCTCAGAGAGAAGGGGGAGAGCCTAGGAGAGAATCCTCACTCAGAGAGAAGGGAAGAGCCCTGGAGAGAAGGGGAAGAGTCCTGGAGAGAATCCTTACCTTGGACCCTCATGCTGCACTGTGGAGACACATTTATTTTTAAATCCACTAAGCTGTGGTATGCAGTCATGGCAGCCCAACCTGTCACCTCAATTAACTAACAAAATCAGTCAGTATCATTCCTAACACAGAGAAGAGGAGAGCTAAATACAGTTCCAAGGGGTTTTCACATTCAGTTAGCCATTTTGCTTTTACAGATTAGCAAGGATAAACAATAATGAAACTGTGGTGGGAATCCAGCTCTTTAAAGCTTTAATGATCATCCCTAAAACAGGCCAACCATATTCCTGCATGGCTTCTAAAGAGGTCAAAATAAATCCAGACATGCTTATTTGTGAAGAAAAAAATTTGCATTCACATGATAAGGGTAGCAAGAAGGAAGAAGGGGGATAAAAGGCCCCCTGTGGCTGTGTGTTTCCTGGATTCACATGTCAGGTACCTCCAAGACAAATGGTGTGATTGGAGTCCTAACAGCCTGATACACACACACTTTCAAACAACTCAGGACTCAGTGAATCTCTTTGTATGGATCCGCAGTGGTGGAAAGATATACAGATCAGATGAGAGACAAGTCTCCTCCTACATAAAGAAAATTTCCAGTTTTTTACAACCTACCAAAGGCCATTTTAAAGCAAAGTGTTGGGGGGGGGGGGACTGGCCTGATAACACAATTAGTGCTCTGGGAAGAGCAGCAAGCATGGCCTCCAGGACTCACCCAACCTGTCAGGCAGAAGCAGAAGGACTGCTGCAGACTCAGGCCAGCCTGGGCTGCAGGACAAGCTCCAGGCCTGTCATGTCACAACTGTGGTTCTCCCTCAAAGGACCAAATGAGAGCAGAGGACCCAGAAACCCTGTGACCAAACATGGAGCAGAGGTCCTGGTTCTGCCTCCTCTCCTGAGGAGTCAATTTTGCTTTGCAAGGCTCACCTCTTTTCCCTCTACACTCCTAAATGCACTATTCTCTCTCTCTCCACTCCTCTATTCCCACACACACATGATCTGAGGTGCTCAGCATTCTCCCTTTCTCTGTCTCCAATAAACTGTCTTCAAGTTCCCAGCTGTGTTCACTTTTCAATTTTCTTATTGACAAAACCAAAAATTTAGGAAGGGAACCTCATGGCCCAGGCTACAGTTAACTGTATCTGTCACATCACTTACTGATCTGATTTTTAAATATTATAGTTACAGATTAACAAATTACAGTTACATATTTAAGGTATAAAAGAAATATAATTCATGAACAACTTTGGGAAATAATTATAACAAACTGAATTAGGTGATTCCCCATCTCCACAAATACACATCTTCTTATGGTACCTCATTTGAGATATATCCTTTGAAATGTGTAATATATTTGCTGGATTGAATGTGCAGTAAAATTTACTTCAATAGAAAAGAATCGTCCTTCTCCAGTTTAGCAGATTTTATAGTCTCAGCACGGATGTGTCTCCTCACCCCACACTACCTCTGGCAATCAACACTGTAAGCCATGCTGCCTGGAGGTCGGTTGTCTAATAATCCACAGGCTTGTGAACCCTGTGTTTGTCTTTCTCTGCTGGGATTATTTTACTTTGGGTGATGTTCCTCAAACCTTCAGTTCTGTCCGCAATCTTCGGGTCTACCCATATTGCCATATCCCCCATTTTAAAGATAAGCAGCATTCCATTTCCCAGTTTCCTCACCAGTTACCTGTGCTACACGCTTAAGCTCTGCTAATGGGAGAATATAAAATAGTGCAGAGGAGGTGGATACAAGAAAGCCCTTCCTCAAATAATTAACACCATGATGATATGACTTGGCAAACCAGCTTTCTATCTTAAGGAGTAAAATGAGGATTGACACAGATGTGCTTGTGCACTCAGCAGCAGCAGTCATATGAGCCAAAGGTGAGAGCAACCCACATTTCCAGCCACAGACAAAGGGAAGCAGCATGTGCACACATTATTCAGACTTTACTCTGCCTTACAGAGCCCCACACCTGCCACACTGTGCTGAGCCCTGAGGACATTACGCTTATGCAAACAAGCCAGCGAAAACAATCAAGAACTCATCAAAACAACAACAAGACTCCAATTTATGAGTTCAGGGGTCCTGTGTTAATCATACTCCAAGACAGAAAGCAGAATGGCTGCTGCCAGGAAATGGGAGTGGTTAGGATGGGGAGTCTTCTTTCAGAGCTGTGGGACTCCATTTGGGAAGATGAAAACTCACCCTAAAGTTATAGTGATAGTCAAAGTGATAATCTGCAGAAAAGAAACTACTCCATGCACTAAAACTGGCTTAAACCAGTTTCCTCCTGCCGGGTTGCCTCATCCAGCCTCCACATGAGGGTCTGTGCCTAGTCTTACTGTAGCTTGTTATGTCCCGCCTGGTTGATGTCACCGGAAGGCCTGGTCCTTTCTTAGGAGAGGTGGTTGGGGCATATCTGAGGGGAGAGAGACTGAAAAGAAGGGGAAATACAGTAGGGACATAATATTTGAAAGAAAATAAAAAAGAATTGAAGGAATATGAAATGTGCGTAGAGTTTCATACTATCCATGCACACACATGTGAAAAGTGATCCCTGTCTGTGCTTTCACTGTACAGCACAGTCTACCACAGAATAAATGCTTACCTGTGCTTGCCACAAATTCCAGGTCTTAAAGGATTTATAAAAGTTTGAACAAAAAGACAGTATTTTCTTGAAATCAGGATCCGGGCTTGCTTACCTAGCCTCGACTTCAATACAATAATTTTTTAGAATCCGGAAAGTGATTCCTACAGCTGCTGCCAGAAAGATGGCGATAAGGGCCTATCAAAAAGGAAATGGGGGAAAAAGAAAAAATCTTCATTAGGACTAAATGTACTCAACATATTGGTCATTGTTTTAAGATAGATGGTTTCCCAATGAGAGCTCCACAGTTAGATAAATACTAAGTTTACATAAGAGTCCCTGGGAGAACAGAAAACACACATGTTAACAGACCTCTTGTGTGTTAAACTGAAAGTTAAGGTCCTGTGGTCTGCAGGTCTAATAGGAAAGACCCTGGAGAAGCTAAGATTTCTCTCTGTGCCCCAGCAGGACTGGCCAAGTTAGGGCCCATTTCAGATATGAAAACAAGGATGTGTAGGGTGGGAAAGAACGCAGGCACCTTCAAGGTTGGGGATGGGAGGTACAAATTTGAAATTTAATTCCTGGGGCAACATGACTGTGGTCCTGGGTACAAGTTTAGACAAGGAAGTGGACAAGTTAAGACACACCCGCCTGCCCAGCCTTAGGGCACTGAAAGATATCTCTGCTTGGCAACCAGACCAGATGGCCAGCAGTCCCCCACCCAGACAGTCCTGCCTAATCAGCATGTAACAGGACACTCCAGGCACTGCGCATGATCAGCTATTCCCCAGATGGCTGGACCACTGTGGCCTTGGCGTCTAAAACACACCTATTATTTTAAAGGTCAACTTTCCTAAAGACCCTCTTACCTAATCCTGTAATGCCAAGGCTTGGATTTACCCACTTGTGTTTTTCCCTTTAAAAACCTTGTTCCCCCAGACTGCTGGGCCTCACTCCTCCTTCAACTAGGGAGAATGCAGCAACCTGGGCTTGAGCTTGTAATAAAAGATCCTCATGTATTTGCAGTGAAGTCTATTCCTGATGGTCTTTGGGGGTCTCATGAACTGGGCATAATATCTGGGGGCTGGTCTGGGATCCCCAAGACTCTATGACCCTGATCAGGAGGGTCTTATGCTGGCGGCAAGTGTCTAAGTGTCTCTGTGCAGTGTATGTTTGTGTTTTCTCTCAGTTCTGAAAAGCCTCCAGGTGTCTGAACAAGGGGCAAGACATGGCTAGGAGCAGATGCACTGTCGTGGGAGATTCAAAGAAGACATCCCTGGCCCTGGAGTGGACCAGGAATCCCACTGTCAGTTATTCTCCTCACTGGGTTGCTTTCAGATTCAGTGGCAGGAATCTGAGAGTCCAAGCTTTTGGATCTATTTCTGTTTACAGTTGAGGAACAGCTACTTTGTTCACTTCTGCCTTTCTATTTTGTTCCTTGTCTCTGTGTGTCTTTGTCTGACTGTGGGACTGTGAAAAAAGTTATAGGTCAGACTGCTTCTAACTCCCTAGACTTAACTCTTGCCCATTTTGAGGGGACTCTAGTCTGGCAGGTCTCTGTCAATGCTTTGGTCTCTGCTACTGCTCCAGTCTCTGATGGTGAAGGGAGTCAGGTTGCTTGGGAATGCAGCCCACCCAGGGACAGGCTTCTCTGTAGGCAGGCAGCTTTTAAAGGGGCAACAGCAGCTTCTCAAGTAAGAAAGCTGCAAAGCCTCTATGGTCATAAGAATTGGATTCAACAGGTAGCAAGATCTTCCTCCCATAAAATTACAGCTAAAAGAAGTACAAATAAGTTTTGTAGTTTTCTCTGTCTATTTAAAATATACAAGTTTCCTATGTATTGTCTGTCTTCGTTACTGATTATTGGTTAGTGAGTATGTTAAGATTTTACATAATTCCTGTCCTGTCTTAAAAAGCAGGTTTATAAAAAATAAAATAAAATTTTTTATAAAAAAAAAATCTATTATATAAGATTTCAAACTCTGGTTATATAAGATATTAAAGCTGCACCTCCATGTATTTGTATACAAGAAATTTTCCTGATGGCAGCCAAAGTTTATGACATCAAAATCATATGCTAGAGATTGACTTTAGAGGTACTAAATTGTTTACATTGATAAAATTTGGTTTTTACTTTTAAAATTATGGTTATGCTTTGTGACTTCATTCCTATAAAAGGTACTTTATTTTGATATTGGAAAAACAGATTCTTCTAAAAATCTGTTAGATTTTTATGTTGGAAACATTTTAATGTTGGAAAAACAGGTTTTGAAGAATGTTTAAGGCTATGAAACGTTTAAAAGTTTATCAGGCATTTGAAAATAATGACTTTGGGCAGTCTAACAGGGAACTTGGAACAGTTTTTCAACACTTTGAGGGGAAGACAAAGGACTTTGTTATTTATTTTATTAATTTCACCAAATGAAATTAAACCATATTGTTTGAGCCAATTGAGAAAACTGAAGCTTTTACAGTATATCATGTCAGAATGGTAAAAACCCATGGAATGACTTATTAAAAAAAAAAAAAAAAAGACGAAGAAGAAAAAGAAAGAGAGAGAGAAAAGAAAATGAGGAGAATTCTGAATTGCAACCCGGGCTCAAGCTTGTAATAAAAGATCCTCATGTATTTGCAGAGGAGTCGAATCCTGGTGGTCTTTGGGGGTCTCATGAACTGGGCATAACAGGGAGCAAACTTCAGTGACAAAAAGTGTTCACCTCAACGACATGAGACCTCAGCTCTGGTGCCAGTGAACATGCCCAGTTTCCTACTTCACATGCTTCACAAGAACTCAGGCTTTCTTTACTCTCAGTGTTACAAACAGCCCAGGCCAGGGGCAAAGTCAGTGCAGAGCCCTGTACAGCAAACATGAGGCCCTAGTACTGATCCCCACATGCAAACCAAATAATGACATTAAAACCCCTCACAACACAGCTCCTAACAGTGGATTGTGTGCTGAGAAGGGGTGAGCTTGTCCCCATCAGTGCATCCTTGGGGAAGTCAGAGAGCTAGTGCAGCCACCAAGGAATCCACACAGCTGACTCCTCAGTGCCCAGTCACCCATCAGCTCTGTCACCACTGTCCTTCAACCTCAGGCTGTGGGGCCTGGGCTCAAGAACCCTCACCCAGCAACTACAGCTCTCAGCTCCCCATCTACACTGTGCAGACAGCTCACAAGGAGGCTGCCCGGCTTTGGTTTGGGGGCAAAATGACATTGAAAGAGTATTTCTCTCAGCAAAGGAGTGAGGTCACATGACGCTGTAACTTAATTGAGATATTTATCTTATTAGTCATCTGGTAACTTTTTAAAAATAGGAAATTATAATTCAGGAGAAAACATCTTATTATGTTCCCTACTAACTTAAATTAAAAACCAAAATCCCAGGGCTTGGAGAGATGGCTCAGCAGTTAAGAACACTTGCTGCTCTTGCAGAGGAAGGAGATTCAGTTCCCAGCACACACATGGTCCCTCACTGCTGCCTGGAATTCCAATTGCAGAAGATATGATGCCTTCTTCTGGCCTCCATGGGCCTGCACGTGATGCAGCTACACATGCAGACAAAGCACTCAGACATAAAAAAATTAATACAAAAAATTTTAAATCTAGTCACAATTCACAGCATTACTAACACAGACATGCACACACAGACACACACATACACACACACACAAACACCTCATGACTTTGCCTTACTGTTCAACAATGATTTACCCAATTTGATAAATGTCACTATTTATTTGTTTTCAAATCAGATCAAGTCTTTTCCCCTCAACTACCTGAGACATAAATTGCCTGTTTTATTACATAAATGCCCAAGTATAAAGGCCAAAGTGTTTGGAGCAACTGACAGTATAACTCAAATCGTAACAATACTCATAATCAGAGAAGGAAGGCAGCAACATTTCAATATGAAAATGGTCCTATTCATGCTTAGAAGTAAGCCGTGTTTCATTACAGCCGACAACATACCATCTTACAGTATTTATGTAGTGAGCATTCAGTAATGTAGTGAGGATATTGTTGTGCTAAAAAACCCAGTTATGAGCTGGGCCTGGTGATACACACCCTTAATCCCAGCACTCCTGGAGGCAGAAACAGGAGGATCAAAAATAAAACAAACAAACAAAGAAAGAAACAAACAAACAAACCAAACAAACAAGAAAAAGAAACCCCCCAAACAGTTATGCTGTGTGAATGTTTGTTCTGATCCCAGGTGTGGGGGTAGAAGGCATCTTCACAGCAGGTGACTATGATTTGCCTTTTGCTCCAGCAGGAGCATGGTTCTCCCAGCTGCAGATATTTTCTGCCCGTCTGTGGAACTCTGGAAACTTTTCAGAGGATATATAAGTGCCAGAGCCCTAAGAGAGCAGCTGCTACCCATGCTGTGGTGGGTTGCAGTTTGTTGCAGTTAATCAAGTAATTGTGTACAAAGAGTAAAAGAAGAAATGGAATATTCTGAAACGGAAAGTCAGTCTTGTACCAAGGATGCTGACAACCCTGACCATCAGGAAGTAGTCTAAAGAGGTCTCTGCCCCCACTTCCCTCTAACACTCTTTCTCACCTACCTAGTGTTGAAATGTTGGAAGAAATTGGGGTGGAGAATGATGGTAAATATAAGAATGCAATAAAGTAGCCAAAAAGATGTGTACAACTAAGCACCTGATAATAATATCAGGACCCCCAAACAGCTGCACTAAAGGACACAGTCTCCTCCCTGGTTCCCAGCAGCTGACAGGGAAGAGCCTAGTTAAGTCCACCTCCATTTTTGTGTAGCTGGAGCTCTCAACACCAGCCTCAGGGCACAGCATCCTCAGCAGGGTCACCCCTCAAGGAATAGATGCACAGGCTCCCACAGAGGTGCTCAATGACACTGTCTCCTGCCCCTGATCTCAGCTACAGTTCAGACCCCTTCCCCCCCTTCCCTCTTCTATCACCCCAACCCTTCTCTACTTAAACTTTCTCCAAAGTCTGTTTTTCATCTGATATGCTGCAAATTTTATCTATTTACGCAGTTATCTCATAGCCACATAAACGAACATTTACATCAGGAAAATAGCCTTTTTACTCACTTTGCTCAGCCCTTTACTTTGAACTTGGAGGGAGAATTGGTGAATAAAAGTAGAAGGAACTTCCAGGTGTGCCTAGTTACTTTTGGCAATCCCTGGATAAAAAGTCCTGCTTGGATTTAGTCATAACAGTTCCTCCAAATAAAAAATGATTAACAACCCTTTCTGTAAGTAAGAAGTTAATCGTGTCCTCCTTGCTTTCCTGAATATTTCTATGTGCCAAGCAGCGTGGGGATGACAAATGCATGGAAGGTAGCAGAAGGTAAGTGTGATTCTGAAGTGAAAGAATCAGAGTAACCCTATAACATATATTTCTTTTAATTGTCATGAAACCTATATTTTGAAATAGAGTCCCATGTCAAACTAAAGTCTATCAGTACTTTTCCAGAGAACAGGAGAATGTAACAGCCCCTCCTGACCCTAGCCATCTGCAGAAACGGAGATAAGGAAATGAACAAGCAAAGACTTCCACCTGGTTGCAGAAGAAAATAACATTGTCTAGCAGGGGATCCAGATGGTCCTAATTCCCCTCCCAATAGCCCCTGACCTTTTGACTAAAGGCACACAGCATGCTTCTCAGAGCAACCACAGGATGAGCAAATCGCTTTTCCCACCTTTATCAATGGCCTAGTCAGACCATTGGATGTACTAATCACATTCCCACCTTTAACAGTAGCTGAATCTGTACCTATCAGGAAAGATCAGATATCCCCCAGATGTCTGAGACAAAACTGGCCAGACCTGGTGCCCAAAATATACTCTATATCTGCTCCCATGCTGTCAGACCTGTAACCCCCTCTCCCTGTGCTTTTTCCTTTAAAAGCCTAAGGCTTTGCTGACTAGGTGCTGACTGTAGACCCATTGCAGAGCTATGAGCTAGCACCATCTGGCAATAGCTTGAATAAACCTATTGCATTTGCATTGATACAGAGTTTGCTTCAGTTGCCCCTGCAGTAATTAGGCTTCTACTAAGACTATCAGGCTCCTGCTGGGCCTCACAGAAGTAGACAGACTCAGAAACAAATTGTTCCCACTTGAGTTTTCACAATACAATTAGAATAAGCCATCAGATTACCTTAGTCATAGTGACCCTTAGAAAACCTTTTGCATTTTTTAAAGAATGACAAGAATGACGTATAATCCACCGGAGCTGATGCCAGAAGGGAGTGACACAGGAGACTTCCAAGTCTGAGCTCATCTGCACCTGCTGCTCCCCCAGGACTCTATCCAGTTCCATTCTTGTTTTACTGTAGAAGGTGGACTCGATATATATTCTGGCTAATTCTTGTATGACTGGATTTTTTTCTGCCTCTAAAAACACTTCAAGTTCATCAGCTTTGGAAAAAAGCAGATAAAGACAAGAAACAGTTAGCAGGCAACAATTTAACTTTTCATAAATAACCCATAAATTATCTATTGATTTTCTTTGAGACAAATTCCATTGTAACCCAGACTGGCCTCAAAGTTGTATGTAGCAAAGGCTTGCCAAGAACCATGGTCTCGAGGAAGTTCAGTAAGCATGGGGCTTTCTGGAAGGTAGTCCAGTGTTCTGCTGTACTGTGATGTACCCCCACAATTGCTTCCAGCCGCTGACACCCCTTCTTTCTTTCTGTGCTGCTCTATCTCTCAAAACTCTGGCATGGTGTGAACCCTCACTTTCTGGGTATTTGCCCACTCTGACTGAACTAAACTACTATGGTATCTATACTGCTGTTCAGATGAACTAATTCCTGATTAAGGAATTCCTGATTTGAACTGAAACAACTTCAGTATTTAAGAAGTTAAATAGTCAATAGAAAGTTTGCAGCTGCAGTAAATACTTTTGTGGACCTCTAGATGCCTCACTAGGATACAGGCTTGTGGCTTCAGATAAGCGTTCATTCTAGAGATGGCAGGAATCCTGGTCTGCACTGTAAATACAGGCAAGTTGGTGTGAACTTCTCATGAACCCAGAATGTAATAGGACTACCAAGAAATGTCTAAATTAAGTACAAACCTTGTGTCAATAGTTACAAACTATTTCATTGTAATTCCTTATACCTTGTCACCTTATGGGGTAAAAAAAAAACTGTCATTCTAAATTTACTTTGTATCTTGAGATGTAAAACTAGATGAAGAACTGTTTACCTTAGTACCAAAACAAGCAACCACTAAAAGCCCTCCTGCCCTAACAGTTTTGTCTGTCTCTGTAATAAACACTTTTGACTATGAGGTAATTCTCTCTCTGAGGTACACAGCTTTTGCTCAGGGTATAAGAGGTGTAACCAGGACAATAAAGTTTGTTGCCTCAACTATTGAATGTGTGTGTGTGTGTGTGTGTGTGTGTGTGTGTGTGTGTGTGTGTGTGGTCTATTTTCTATCTCTCTTATTTCTTATTCCCCTGTAGACTCACAGATAAGTTAACAGACTCAGGGCTCAGCCATCAGCAGGCATACTTTACCCAAGAGGCCTATCTACAGATCAAAGAGGGCCTTTAACAATTCCCTGCAGTTGCTGGCTAGAAGCCTCTTACTGATGATTCTCCTATTTTTACTTGCTTTTTGCAGCTCTGGCTGCAGGGAATAAGTGGTCAGCTTAGGCGTTCCTGTCAGTAGCAGACCAGCCTGTCCTGAGCAGCAGAGAGGAAACCTTGTCTCCCTCCCTCTTCTATCGTTACTGGCTGCTTCCTGCAGTCTCCAAATTTAAGAGGCTTTTGAATCAAGATATAGAACATGAGACAGAGATGTCAGTCACAGACTGACCCCAAATAAGAGACAAAGGCAAAAGTCACAGGTGTGACTGACCCCAAATGGCCAATGCTGTTTCCACCTGCCTCAGTGCTCCCCTCCTCCACCCCTGACTCATCAAACCTGGACAAAGGGTGGCCTTGGACTTCCCTTGGCCTGTTTCTATGTGGCAAGTGCTTTGATTGCAGGCAGACACCTTCACACCCAGGTATGCAGTGTCAGGAACCAAACTCAAGGCTTTGTGCTCACTAGGAAAACATTCTCCAGCTGAGCTAAGTCCTCAGCCCAACAAGTTTTGAGAGGAAAAACGTTGCTGCTATGTAATTCCTTCCCAGCTAAGAAAAGCATCCTTAACTGACCTGGCTACTGTCTTTATCCCAGGGATACAGCAACTTGAAAGGCCTTTTCCTTTCTGGATCCTAATTCTTAACATTGACTTCCTTCCCATGTGGATCTATACTTCTCAATATGAAGGTCTGCTGCCTGCTTTCTGCCACATGCAAATGTATATGCGAATGTATAAAGTCCCAAGGTTTTTTGTTTTTTTTTTTAAAGCTGTAGTATGTCACAGAGTTTGGTCTTTTGTCCACACATCTTTACTTGCAAATGTCCATGAAAATGAGTCTCTGGTCTGTGTTGAGGCCTCTGGGTCCTGCTACACTATCAACACTGGACCCTCACAGGCAGCTCTGGGAATCCAGTTGTCCTGAGTCATGGAGATCCTGCAGTTCTGGATCGGCAGGACTGGCTCCTTCACACACTCCAGCAGTTCACATATGGGTACATGTTGAGGTGGGCCAACTCAAACCCTGGATCTAGGCCTAGGAGGTAGCTGAGCTGGTCAGTCTGCCAGCTCCTCCATACCCTCACCACCAGGGGGAGCTCTCCAGCACCGCCCTGGCTAGCTCCCCCAATGCTACAGCCAGCAAGAGCCAGGGTCAGCTCTCCTGCTCTCCTGGCCTTGGCAGGCTCACCTGCTCCCCCACCACCAGGGTCAGCTCTCAGGGCCAGGCCCTCCCCCACCAGTCCCTAACCAGGAAAATGTCCTACATGCTTCTCTGTAACCCCACCTTATAGATCCATTTTCTTAACTGAGTTTCCCTCCTCTCAGGTGACTTTAGCTTGGGTCAAGTTGACATAAAACTAGCCACCACACTCTGCAATGCCTGTCCTTGTGAGGTGAGGTAGAAAGAGCATACATTCAAGGTCAGGCTGGCTACATGAGCAAATCCTATCTAAAACAATAGAAAGAACAATATGACAGACAGTGAGTACGTTTACTTTCTAACAGAAATTTCCATATAAATGTTCTTTCATGAATTAAATAAAAATCACCCAGCACTAACACCAAGCAAAGTCTATTAGTTAATTTTAGGACATTGAATGAACATAAAATAACTATATTCTAATGAACCACATTGTTGCATTTTAATGAAAGGAGTTAAGCAAAAATCTGTGACTCTAGAAGAACCACATACCTTCATGGCTGTCTTCCTTTGTGTCGATTATGGCACCTCTAATAATTAAGTCCAGGGAGAAGTCTACAGGGATGTAGTGGGAACCATCTGTGTAACCTACAAAGGAGGCAGCCCAAGAGCACACACCTGAGGACCCTCTTTCAGAGAGTGGGGAAGGGGAAGGAAGACAGAATGTAACTTCTTCCTCTTCCTGCTCTTCCCATCAATAATTGATCCTTTGATATTTTATACACTCACAATGTTCAGCAATCTCAGTTTCCTGCCATATATACATGTAATTATACATAATTACATATAGTATATATATATATATATATGGATATATACATATTCTATGTGTATGATATATATACCTATGTGACCTCTTCCTGTGAAACAAACATTTGAACTTGGCCTAAATTTTTATAGGACTCTACTAACTCACAAATGTTTGGACATTTTTAAATGACAAAGATTAACCAAAAACAAATAAAGAGTACTGGACAACAGATATCTAAACCTATATTTGGAGTCAAAAAAATTCCTCCATTACTCTATTCATATTGCTAAAAGATGAAGCAGACTGCATGAACATTGAAAAATATTTCATCATAATGATGCTGCTCCAATGATGGATAAATGCCCCTAGGCCAGCATGTCAGCTAAGAGGGTCACCACAACTAGAAAGAAGAATGTGGGGTTCAGAAAAAACACTCAAACAGAGGCATGGATACAGGACAGGAGAAAGACAGGAAACCTTACAACAAGCCAGTACTGTAAAACTGACCAAAGTCCTGTCACCAAATCAACCAAAGGTATCTACAGTGGAGAAACCCACACACAGTGAGTGTGCACTGGGTCAGACAGCAGCCCTGATGACCCCTGTTCTCTACACAGACCCTGTGGATGAAGGAGCTCTCAGAGCAGAGCCATCCGGACCTTGGGATTTGAAGTACTCCAAAGCACTCTTTGCTGGCCCGTGAAACATGACTTTTCCTGAGGCCACTAAGGTGAGGCTGTCGAACAATTTGAAGAGGAAGTACACAGGTTGCCTGATGGAGAAGATGATTGTCCGTCCCTTCTTCGATATCCTAAGTTCAAAGAAGGAAACATCTTAAGTCACTGGACATCAGCACCTTGAAATTCTCAACAAAATATTTTATTTCTGAAGAAATCTTCTTTGTTCCCATTTCAGCTTGAATTTCCCTAATAAACATCTCATCTCACTTGTTTTATGCACCTGAGAGAGAAACCAAGCTCTAAGCTTCTGTTTAAAAGAAGAAGATTCTTAAAGTGTGAGCTGTTAGTGGTCCAGAGTCCACTCGAGTTTGATTGACAGCATAGATCCCTGGGCAGTGTGGATCTCAGACTGTGAACTGGATCACTAACAGGCTCACCCAAGCCTGAGCAGGAGTCTAGGATTATGTGGTTCTTGGGGTTTTCAGTCAGTCTGAAACTCTTACTAATTTTTAAAATGTATAAAACCTGATGGTTACTCTTTTTCTCTACAAATACCTCAGCTGCAGCCTTCTTTCTTAAGGGAAGGAGATGCTGCTTCCCTTCCTTCATTCTTCCCAGGGTTCGGGAGCCACACCTCAGAAACCATTCCCTCAGCACCACATCCAGGGCTAATCCCTGAGATAATGCTGTTTATTGTCTAGGAAGCCCATGCACCTCCCGCCTTCTCCCAGCTGAGGCATCCCCTCATCTCAGCCTGCTGCCCACATCTTCTCATCCCCAGGGTGCCCTGCACACCTCCACCACGACTGATCTCCTCTACAGCTAACCTCCTGCATGCCCGGCCTCGGGGAAACCTTCTTACTCACTGTGGCCTGAGGGACCTAGGACTCTCCATCCAACCCCGTACACACACTTCAGTTGTGAATGTGGAGGGCTTGGAGGACCTCACATCGAAGAACTGAGAATGTAGCCAGGACTGGAGACAGAGTCTTTAAAAGCTAATCACACTTAAATCACACCACAAGTGTGTCCTAAGCGAAGTGGTGTCATAAGAGATCGGGGCACAGACACATGCAGAGGGAGGAGGCACCGCCCGAGCTCAGTGGATGAGCCTTGACAGACACAGCCTGTGGACACCGTAATATCTGGCTTCCAGGATCCAGAACTGTAAGAAACATAACTTCTGTCAAGTGACCCAGGCTCTGGTGTCTGCAGCAGTGCTCCTGACACCTTCCTTCTCCTCAGGCCACCAGGCTCTAGTCCACCTGTCTCTATAATGTTCCAAACACAGCAAACATGCTTTGCCTCAGAGCAAATGCACTTTCCCTGTGGCCACCTCTCTGTCCGAATCTCTCCGTCTTGGCCACAGGTCACTTGTCACATGCTTGAGGGTGTCAGGGACATGCTACTTAAAGAAGTATTCCACCTTCACCACCCATCTCACTGTTCTTGATGCCTCTTCTTTGTTAACTAAACTTCCCCACTGATAAACAAGGATGAATTCTGTAGCTTACTTCTGAGTCTCCTGAAACACACACACAAGTGACCAGGTATTAAGTAAATAAAAACATGACATCCCTTAAGTTCTTACCTTCTCAGGACTGAGATGATATCATTCTCCATACTCAAGTCCAAGCCGGAGGTGGGTTCATCCAGGAACAAAATGGGATGGTCAGCGACCAGCTCTACTGCTATGCCGGTTCTCTTCCTGAGCTCCTTAGATCTAGGCTGAAGCACCATTGACCATTGTTACCTCCAAGAACAACCATAGTCACTGTCACTGGAATAAGCCTGTTCCAGCAAGAAAAGGTTTTCTTACATCATTCTCCTGAAGGGCAAAAACGTGGGCACTGTGGAGAATGAGGAGTCTTCTCTTCCCAAGAGAGGAGAAAGAGGCTCGGGTCAGACTTGTCATGATGCCCATGTTGAGAACAGATAACGTTTGTTCCTTAGGAAGGCACATGTTCTAGGCTCCTGAGTTATCACACTCACAGAACCACACACACACATACACACACACACACACACACACACACACACACTGTTTTCACCAAATATTCTAAAGTGAAAAGTTCACATTGCCTTCATAGGACATTTTCAACTTCCTTAAGACTTTCGAATAGAGATTATTTGCATTGTAGGGAATCACAGAATTCATGACTCACACTCGTGGACAAATGCAAAAGGTCAAACTGCCACAGTCTTTTTATGAGTGTAATGTGAGAGGGACTAGGAAGGTTGAGGGGAAAGAGAGACAGGGAATGATTCTGAGGGTTAAACTCTGTACACATAATAAGCAGAACTATGATCTCGCCCTAATGACGGCCCACAGGGGTGTTTGGGGAATTTGGATGATGTGGACTTGACATGGCTGAAGATATGAAGGATTACTGACCTGGAGAGTTTAGGTTTTGTAGGCAACCATAGGTCCTTATTTTTATGAATTATCTAAGTGCTCAGGAGTAAGATACTACTTAGTGTTTTCTTAAAATGTGCCAGTGGGAAATAGCTTTGTTCAGTATGTGATAAAATAGTAACTAGTCAAAAACCCAGAAGGATGCTGTTAGGAAGGGCACTAACTGTGCTGACTGTAGAACTATCCCATTCTTTCAGTAAGCACATACTCCCTCTGCATTTCCTATCTGGAAATCTTTTTTTTTTAAATTTTTTATTAATTACACTTTATTCATTTTGTATCCCCCCATAAGCCCCTCCCTCCTCCCCTCCCGATCCCACCCTCCCTCCCCTTTCTGCATGCATGCCACTCCCCAAGTCACTGATAGGGGAGGGTCTCCTCTCCTTTCTGATCTTAGTCTATCAGTTATCAAAAGTGGCTGCATTGTCCTCTACTGTGGCCTGGTAAGGATGCTCCCCGCTCAGGGAAATCTTATTAGGAGTTGCAGAGAAGGCTGAGCAGGGAAAAGCACAAGCCTGAAGCCTGGTTCAACCCTGAGAAGTCACATCCAAAACTACATGCTGCAAACCATCCTGGCACCGGCTGGCCTACTCTTCCGGGGGGGTGGGAGGAAGGGCTCGGGCTCCTGGATGCATGGGCTCCCCTCGCCCGCCTTCTTCAAGTCCACCCTACAGGCTGCCACCGCCTCGCCACCGCCTCAGCTGCTCCTGCCACAGACTCCTCGGGCTGCAGCCCAGGCTGCCCCGCGATTTTTCACTGGGTAGCACTGGCTGTCAAGGAGCTCATGCTGTAGACCAGGCTGGCCTCAAACACAGTGATTTGTCAGCCTCTGCCTCCTGAGTGCTGAGAATAAAGGGTGTTCCACAACTGCCTTGGCCCAGGAGAATTGCTTCAAGCTTAAGAGCTGGTGATTGGGGAATCCAAGATGGCAGCGACCAGCGCGCACCATATTCACAGGAGCTGAAACTCCAAATTGGTGAGTCGAGGGGCTGTGGAACCCCAAACAACTGTATGAGGAGTCCAGAGAGAAGGGGAACAAACCCTGATCTGAGTCCAATAGGACACAGGTCAACTGTGGACATCTCCGTGGGCTTCTCCCGGGGAATCAATTCCGGGCAGAAGCAGCAGTGGAGGTGGTCAAGCCTGCAGCAGAGGAGGCAGAGGAGGCAGAGGAGGCAGAGGAGGCAGAGGAGGCAGAGGAGGCAGAGGAGGCAGAGGAGGCGGAGGTACTGCAGCCAACAGAGAAGCAGCAGCAGAGTTACCTGAGTAACTAGCAGCTGAAGCAGAGCAGGCACCCCGCAACGCACACAGCATGCCTGCACACAGTGCTGCCTGCTCCAAACACAGATCTCCCTCCTATCAAGGGAGAACTTGATAGGAGAACACTCAAACCCCCGGCATTTCCCCCAGGAACACCGATCTCCAGCCTTGCCTGAGGGGGAAGCAGCAAAGGACTTCCCAACTTAGAGCAGAGCTCAGCCTGCTGTGTGCACAGCTTCAAGGACAGAGCACAGAGCTGCACACAACAGAGTACTTGTCCCACCCACAGCGTCAGCCACAGACCTCAGAGGCCAGCCTGCAGAGCCCTCTACAAACTGGAGACCACTGGGTGTTCAGAAAACCTGTGCAGGCGCTTTGTGCCTGCAATCTGCGCTAGCTAACCGCGCCAGCATCCACATCCCCTCTTGTGCTTGCTCCCTATCCCAAGCATCTACACTCTCTAGCACTCCCCTTCAAGACACACACAACACACACACGTGTGCACGCACGCATACACACACACACACACACACACACACACACACACACACACACACACTTATTGCTTACTCCCCTGCAATAACGAATCTGCACCAGCGGCTTTTCCTCCCTTAGGTACAACTTAAGCAGCAACACAAACTCTCAAACCCCTGGACCTCCCTGATTTTCCTGAAGAATACTCCGGAGACCAGAGAAAAACAGTTCCACTCTGAAGTTCAGAATCAAGGAAAAAACAGTGAACATCACATATAATCAAATGGCTAAAGGTAGGCATAACAACCCACTCAAAAAAATCAGGACACCATGGACCCACCAGCAACCCCCCAAATCAATGGATATTTTAATTCAGTGGAAACACAGAAACAGCAAAAAGCCTGCACATACATGGAAACTAAAGAACTCACTACTCAATGACAGCTTGGTGTGGGAAGAAATAAAGAAAGAAATTAAAGACTTCCTAGAATTCAATGAAAATGAAAGCACAACATAACCCAAAATTATGGGACACAATGAAGGCAGTGCTAAGAGGAACGCTCATAGCACTAAGTGCCTTCAAGAAGAAATTTGAAACATCTCATACAAGCAACTTAATGGCCCAACTGAAAGCCCTAGAAAAAAAGAAGCAGATACACCCAAGAGGAGCAGATGGCTGGAAATAATCAAACTCAGAGCTAAAATCAATCAATTAGAAATAAATAAAACAATTCAAAGAATCAATGAAACCAAGAGTTGGTTCTTTGAGAAAATCAACAAGATAGACAAGCCCTTAGCCAAACTAACAAAAAGGCAGAGAGAAACTATCCAAATCAGCAAAATCAGAAATGAAAAGGGGGACATAACTACAGACACTGAGGAAATCCAAATAATCATTAGGGCTTACTACAAAAGCCTCTATGCCACAAAATTTGAAAATCTAAACGAAATGGACAATTTTCTTGATAGTTTCCATCTACCTAAACTAAGTCAAGATCAGGCAGAAAGATTGAATAGTCCCATATCACCCAAAGAAATAGAAGCAGTCATCAAAAGTCTCCCTTCCAAAAAAAGCCCAGGGCCAGATGATTTCAGCATAGAATTCTACCAGACTTTCAGAGAAGTGCTAACTCCAATTCTCTTCAAACTATTCCACAAAATCAAAATAGAAGGAACATTACCAAACTCATTCTATAGAAGCTACAGTCACCTTGATACCTAAACCACACAAAGACCCAACAAAAAAAAAGAGAACTTCAGACCTATTTCTCTTATGAACATTGACGCAAAAATACTCAATAAAAAAAATTGCAAACTGAATCCAAGAACACATAAAAGATATCATACACCATGAACAAGTAGGCTTCATCCCAGGCATGCAAGGGTGGTTCAATATATGGAAATCCATCAATGTAATCTACCACATAAACAAAATGAAGGAGAAAAACCACATGATCATCTCCTTAGATGCCAAAAAAGCATTTGACAAAATCCAACACCCATTCATGTATAAAGTCCTGGAGAGATCAGGGATACAAGGCACATACCTAGACATAGTAAACGCAATACATAGCAAGCCTACAGCCAACATCAGACTCAATGGAGAGAAACTTAAACCAATCCCACTGAAATTGGGGACAAGGCAAGGCTACCCACTCTCTCCATATCTCTTCAACAAAGTACTTGAAGTCCTAGCTAGAGCAATAAGACAACTAAAGGTGATCAAGGGGATACAAACGGAAAGGAAGAAGTCAAAATATCACTGTTTTCAGATGATATGATAGTATACATGAGCGACCCCAAAAATTCAACCAGAGAACTCCTTCAACTAATAAACACCTTCAGCAAAGTGGCTGGATACAAAATCAACTCAAAATAATCAGAAGCCCTCCTGTATACCAAAGACAAAAGGGTCAGGAAAGAAATTAGGGAAACAACACCCTTCCCAAAAGCCACTAATAACATAAAGTACCTTGGGGTGACTATAACCAACCAAGTGAAAGATCTGTTTGAGAAAAACTTCAAGTCTCTGAAGAAAGAAATTGAAGACAATATCAGAAGATGGAAAGATCTCCTGTGCTCATGGATTGGTAGGATTAACATAGTGAAAATGGCCATTCTGCCAAAAGCAAGCTACAGATTCAATGTAATTCCCATCATAATACCAACACAATTCTTTACAGACCTTGAAAGAAAAATTCTCAACTTCATATGGAGAAACAAAAAAACCCAGAATTTCCAAAACTAGCCTGTACAACAATAGATCATCTGAAGGTATCTCTATTCCTGATCTCAAGCTGTACTACAGAGCAATAGTAATAAAAACTGAATGGTAATGGCATAGAAACAGAAAGGAGGATCAATGGAACTAAATAGAAGACCTAGAAATAAACCCACACATCTATGAATACTTCATTTTTTACAAAGAAGTGAAAACCATTCAATGGAAAAAAGACAGCATCTTCAACAAATGGTGCTGGTCCAACTGGATGTCTATATGCACAAAAATGAAAATAGATCAATATTTATCACCCTGCACAAACTAAAGTCCAAGTGGATCAAAGACCTCAACACATTGAATCAGTTAGAA